ATCTTATGTAGTGTCGAGCTATTTTGGCGAATCCCTGATATTTTGCTTGTTTTATACGTGTTTTTTCGTCAATTTTGCGGCTGTCAATTTTTCGAAGACTTCAGTTTACATTGCCTCGTTCAGCTTACTGTATTCTACACAAAATTTCGCGTGACCATCTTTCTTTGTTTTGGTTGGAATATCCCTTGCTTATGCATGCCTTTAATGTCATTAATTGCTTCGCCAAAGAAGCTCTTCTATGTGGTTGTATAAGGGGCGTTTGTTCCTGTGTTGATGTGCTGGGATGTCAAACTGGTCCTACCGAAGTCTAGATCTAGAAGGCGAGCAGCTGGTCAAATTACGTAACCTAATCTTGGTTGTGTTTACTGCACCGTTTACCAATTCGGTCAAAATTGCAGGAACTGATGTCAGTTACGCACCAGGTTCTTCAAGTCAGTGGTGAAATTCAGCTATTGGTTCAAATACTCTTCATCATGTGCGTTTACAGATTTTTTGGTCGAAGCCTTTCAAAGTGGTTTTTCTAACAAGTATTGTGAGTATACTTTCCATTAATAATCCGTCGATGTTCTCATCTGTTCTTACTCACAATACCCTCGGAGTGAGTCGGCAGTATATTCCATCTTAGTGTATCTCGGATCGCCGTAGTCATGATTGGTGTCTTTGCCAAGAAACAAATTCGCCATTCCGATACCACAACCGATTTGAATGAACGAAGCGACAACATTGAGATGTTTGTTTTCTTTGTTTTCTTTGTTTCTTTATATACATTTGTTATTATGCATTTTTTCATGAGCGACACGTACATGTTCCTTAAAAGCTTGTTTTGTCGCTTCAAACTCAAAACTTTTGCTAGCCTTGCATCAGAATCATCAATGATCGCAGTAACGGGTATTATTAGCTCACCAATTTCTTTAATTTCTTCAATTTGTGTCTAAACAGTTTCTCCCATTTTCACCTTCGGCTTAATCTTTAGTCTTGTTTTCCTTCTTATTTCTGATGTCATTTATTATTTCCTCCGTTCTTATATTTATTGTTTCTTGTATGTTCTTCCTGTTTTCATTTCCTATTTCATTTCTTCTTGGGCTGCATGTAATGATATTTTATTTTCATGTTATCGTGTACTAGTTTTAATTCTTCTTTCAATCTCTTGTCTCACCCTTATATTTGCATTCATTTCTTCTTGACAATTCTTCTTTCCTCTTGTCCTTTTTTCCTTTTTTTGTCATTTCTGTCATTGCGATTAACACCTTTCTTTGTACCTGCATTTTTACTTCGGCACGCCTGCTTGTAACAGGCGCAAAATATCTCTATTTCTTCTACAATTTTTTTTTTCTCTGGTGTATGCTATTTACAATTGGTGCAATATTCCTCCAGAAAATTGAACAGAATTTTTCGGTCATATCGGTTTCGTTATTTTCTCTTCGATAGCTTTCTAGTGATATATGGTTTGTTAGGGTTATTCACGATCTATGCAAACTTCCAAAAAAAGCGATGAAATTCGATTCGCTAGGGTTACTGGCAATCGATGAAATGTTCTGGAATATCCAATGGAATTTTATAAAAGCTTTATTCTTCTTCAGTTCCGCTCCTGCTTCAAATGTCACTTTTAAAACTATTTACTTTTTGTAATTATTATCTAAGTAGAATTAATTAATCACTCGATCTTTACTATATCACTGGCTGATTCGCCTCCTTGCTCTTCTAATTCGCTTACAAACACCTCGTAACTATTGATGCTCTTTTTTACGACCACGCGGTAGCTATTTAAAGGTGCAGGATGTTTTGGAAAACTTCTATTCGAGAATGTAGGTTCTAGAGTATTCTAGGCTTCGTTATACTAGCGCTATTTCGGTAACTCACTATAAGCTACCTTTTACTCTCATGGTGGATTGCCTACACATGACAAAATCATTATAATGCAGAGGTTTGATTTAAATATTTCAATATAGTAAGAAATGTTAAAGCTACATTTTTATTGAAATCTGCCAGATAGAAGTGACATTATTTGTTTTCACCTAATTAATACTTTTTATTATATCTACGTTAATGATGCTTTATAATTTTTTAACTAGACGAACTCGTCTAAGTTTGAAACGGTCGTACCCGTTGACAATGACACATAGCACTTACAATTTAATTTCGATGGCATTTTTATGATGTACATACATACGTATATGGAATAAACTGTACATTCGAATTTAATGGTTATAGCGTATCATTAGAATGTAGCAACCAACTGTACAGCCGAATATAGGCTCACATAATTTTTTTTTTCATAGAAAAATACAATCTAAATTTTTGACTTTTTTCGTATATTTTCCAAAGATTTTCTGCCAAACAAACTTAGTTAGCAGTTATGAACAGAACAAAAAATAAATTAACCTAATCGGTGATGTCGTTCTCAAATGATGCTGCACCATACATGTGACGAAGATATTTAAACTGTTTTGAAACTACATATTTAACTGAAAATAGACAAGATGACAGAAAAGCTTGGCAAAATTTAATCGAGAATCTCCATTGATAGATAGTTAGGGAGCATAATGAATTTTAGGTAATTATTTAGTTTGGCTGTGCCAACTCGATTTCCGTGAAAATAATACAAAAAGGTAGTATTTCAAGATTGATATTTTGGCAAATATTCAGTGTTGGAAGGAGTGAGAGAAGTGGTCCCCCCTTCCCCGATATTACTTTGATATGTTAATATGTTATATTTTTGATTATGCTAAGTAAAAATATACATACCTATATACATGTACCTATATAATATTTATTTCAAATGCAAAAAACTGTAATGATTAAAGATTGATATTTTACATACATAAGTGTTAGAAGATGGGGGTTAATATGCTTTATTTGATGATCATCATCATCATAAGGTCGGCAGTCCTAAGAGTGGTTGGACACGTACCTCCACACTTTCCTATCCTGAGCTAAAATTCGCATTTCCCTAAAACTAGAACAGCCCACATTCTTAACTATTTGCGAACAGTAATCTAATCTAGGTCTACCTCTACCCCTCGTAACTCCTGTTTCTGCCTCTAGTATGTCTCTGACTAGACCTTCATGCCTGAGAAGGTGTCCTACCAACCTATCTCGCCTATTTTTTATTGACTTCCATAGAGTCCTCTGTTCTCCTATTCTTTCCAATACCTCTTCATTTCTAACCTTTTCTACCCACGATATCCTCATCATCCGCCTATAACACCACACTTCGAACGCTTCTAACCTTTTCTTTTCCGCCGCGCCCACCGTCCATGTTTCGCACCCGTACAATGCCGTGCTCCAAACATATACCTTTAACAACCATTTTCGAATTTCTAAATTAACCGTTCGCGAGCATAGTGACTTCTTTTTATTAAAGGCGACACGACCCTGCGCTATCCTCTTGCTTTATATCCCTACTTCCTAGGTATCTAAAATCAGCCACTTCTTCTAATTTTTCGTCTCCTATCTTTATATTCGCCTTTTCCCTACTTTTTCTTCCTTTGCATACCAGTATTTTAGTTTTACTTTTATTTATTTTCATACAGTACTGATCTGTCAGGACCACTTCCATTTTATTTAAAGCTATCTCTAGGTCCTTGATGATGCTGAGTAAGAATTTATATTCACATACAGAGTCCCAAGAAAGCGGGTTTCTTCAATAACTGCTTTATAGATGAAGATATCAAAAAAAGATTATTACAAATGTGGTACTGTATAACTATCCTCATATCCTAAAATTATTTTCTATTATACACAGTGTCCAATTTTTCCTGGAGGTAACCTAACTTCATTTTTTCAAATGAAATTCGAAAATAACATGTTTACGTTAATAGTGGAAATAGTAGGCCATTTCTTCCACAAGCTAAGTGTGAAATGACGCAGAGCACTGCAACAGCCTATTTATTTAGTGTGAATTTTATGAAAATTGATGTATTTTAGATATTTAAATTTAACAAGAAATTCAATAATGCAATGATAAATGGGACATTCCATTTGAAAAAATGTATAATCGAAAATAATTCTAGAATATGTAGATAATGTATATAAAAATTTACCTTCAGATCAGCATACACGTAGTATACGATGTATTATTATATATTTATTGGGAAATAAATAAAATTAAATAGTTGCAAGGCAAGAGTGTTGATAATGGTGGTAGTTGAGAAAAGGGGAAACCGCCCCCCCCCGTCTTTTCCAACATTGGGTCCAATATACCTATATCCTCTTGTTCAGCGTGACGAGCTCTACAAAATAATGCATTTTTAAGGAAATCAGGCCACACAGTAAATTCTGGAAATTTTTGGAAAGTATTTATCTGATGTAATTGGTTTTGATCTAACTAATTAGCTCTACAAAATAATGCATTTTTAAGGAAATCAGGCCACACAGTAAATTCTGGAAATTTTTGGAAAGTATTTATCTGATGTAATTGGTTTTGATCTAACTAATTACTTAGAAATAAATTAGATGTTTTTATCCAGTACTAGATACTGTATATCTGTACTAGCAGTTGGTAATTTACTTAAAGGTCGCACCAGACCCACGACTATTGTTTTTTAAGCATCGACTGACAAAATGTAAAAAACAAAAAGGTTTTCAACTCAAGTCTTATTAAAAACTACACAAATTCGTATTTCATATTTTAATAATTTGTATACTATTTTCGATTTATTTGGCCGATGTTTACTTTAGCATCCCCTTGTTTTTTTTTATCCGACAGTGCAACGTGGAAGCAATGTATACGGTATAAAATTTAGACAATCGCCAGATAAGCATGTTTGGTGAGTGTGTCTCACTTTGCAAGCTTCTATCAAAAACTTTGTCGGAAATGAAAAGTTTATTTTATAATGGAGTATTCAAAATTACCATGTATAGTGACGTATTGAATATAAATGTTCTAATTTAGTTTTTATTGAATAACGATTAAAACCATACTCGTTGTGGTGTAATCGTGTGTAGATTAGTGGCTTCATATTGTAAACTCCTTAATGAAAACAGATTTTATATTTTAGGACCTGGATTGTAAAGTATGGCCCAACTATCCTTGCGTATTAACATAGTTGACAGCAATGTTACTAAAACTATGGTATTCGATCCTTCCACTACAGTTTATGACGCATGCAGGATTATTAGAGAAAAAATTACAGAAGCTAATCTCGGACAAGGTAAGTTATGGCATGCCAGTTTGCTATTTAATAGGAAGACTTTTATCAGGAAAAATGAAAAAGGTTCTTTCTCTTATGAGACAGAGAAAATTTTTAACTATGTAGTTTTTACCATGTCATGACATAAAAATGAATTAAAATTATGTCATAACGTAAATTTAATTCAAAATGCATGGGAAGGTATTGGGATCCGTTAAATGGGAGGAGCCTAAAAACATACGATAAAATGATAAGTATTGCCAAAATACGTGATTGGGCTGATACAAAGCCTCGGAAAGGAAATTTCGTTGAAGGTGAGCGTGTTTTTAATGCCAATCACATTATAAAATTCGGAAATAAATCCGGAAGCTAGCCTTCAAATTCCGTCAAGTTTACTGCCTACTTTTTTAAGCAATCACATATCAATGACTTGCACGTGCAAAGCCGATTTCAGAGAACGTTGCAAACACATTATTGCAACTTTGTTGTATTGCAGCAGGTAGGTTCTTAACCTCAAAATACTTATATCGTATCATTAGAATTGTGTTAAATCAATTACACAGGACTAAATAATTTTTCACTTTATAATTTTACTATGATTCTAGTTTTAAATATTAAGGTTATGGCTGATGGTAAATACTTGCTGAAATATAATCATGTGCATTAAAATGACGTGAACAAATTTTTATTTCGGAATTCACTTCTTTGATACCTACTGCTTTCATTCAAGCTTCTATTAATTTACTTTTTTCTCTAATTTTCCGAATATATTTTTACATATATAAAACGGTTAGTTTTTATTGGAAAGTAGTTAATGTAGGTGAAGACTGAAGATCTATGTCTGAAGTGCTATTGCAGCTTTTCACTGAACTTATTAACTTTTTATTTGATTTAACCTTAGAAGAACACTTCGTCGACTCCATCATCAAAAACAATTTTACTTTTTTAACGTGTTTTATTATTTTAATAAACAATTTTACAATTTGCGTGCACAGTTCCTATGTAAATTTTTCCCTCATTCGAGTTATAAATTTTGCCACCAGATGGTGTATGCCCATTTGACGGATCCCAATAGGAATACGTGATATTCAACTATTATGTGTACTTAGTAGACATAACTTTAATTAATTTTTTTATCAGATAATAATTCATTGACTAAAATATATGTCAGTAGGTAGATAATCCTAATTAATTTGTAAGATGTATGTATGCGGACGTATAACAAAAATGACATCTACTAAAATTTTACTTCAACATAGTCGTAATGACATCCAAACAAAGAAAGTGAATTATAGTTATGTATACAAGGTGTTTCTTAAATAAGTAGCAAGCTTTGGAAGGCATTAGTTAGATAGTGGTGATAATAGAAATTCGTAGGGCGAGTAAATCAGCGTGGTTAAAAGACAAAAAATTCTAAGGAAATCAGACGAAATTGTAATCTCAATCCGGCCTTGGGTGTGAGTTTGCAATGTACAGGGTGGGCAAATTTCTATGTTTATATAGGACAACTCGGTAACTAAAAGAAATACAAAAAATTAATATTTTCTTATGGGCTCTGCGTTAGTGAAAAGATTTTTTTCTCTTTTCAAATAAATATAATATGTGGGATCGAATTCGAAAGGTGGTATTTAATAACAAAAATTAAAAACTCACCCAAAAATAATTCCTTCTTGTATTCGTTTCTAGTGGACGTCTCATATGTGCGACAGAGATCATCGTTTTAATGGGCCTTGTGAATTTGCATTTTTATTTTACCTCCATTTCACTTTAAATCTATTTTACGAAAACTACATGTTGGAGCGCTTTATTCTTCGAAGTAATATCAATTCTGATGTGGCATCAGAAATATATCTCAATAATTATTCAGGAAGAAGACAACCTTATAAATTTATTTTTGCGAAAATAAAAGAAACCCTAAGCAATTATTGGAATTAACTTATTACCATTATTCTCAATACAATTAGATCTCGTTATGATACTCCGAACAGCATTATGAATATGAATATTTGAAATTGAATTTACACACTCTAAGAAATGAAAAAGTAGTAAAAATAACTACAACGTTTACAAAAGAATAGGAATTTGTAAGAATTCTTTTTTAAATTTATTTAGAGATACATTTTAAATTGAAAATTTAAGAATGAACGGTTTATAATAAAAAAAATATTGTTATATTAAATTAGAAATTGCGCGAATAATTTTTTAATTTATTATTGCTTTCTTCCTAATTTGTAATATGTACAAACGAAGTTTGATTTTACCATTATTTTCGGTAAGAATAAAAACCTTTTCAGCTTCAATAACTTTTGAATTCTTTATTAAATAAACATAATAAGATTAATACATTCATAAACTTCATACATGTTTAAGTAATTATTTACATCTTTTTTGATTATTAAATTTTTACGTTTAAAAAATAAATTGGTCAGTTAATCTAAAATTAAAATTTCATTCCGTACATATGACAAAATGCTACTTTCGTTCATGTACAGTGGATAGAAAAGTCGGATTTTCTGTGGTGTGACAAAAAATTAATTACGACACCAGTAATCACACAAAAATGCGTACGTATGCAATACTATTGTTCTGCACTGACCTAGAACACCAACACACTGCCAATGACTTCGACTAACTATATACGTTCAAGGCTGCTCTAGGCTGACCGTAACATTAACATCATCAATCAAATTTAATTTAATCTAAAAAAAAAACAAAAAATTCATAAGTAGGTACAAAAATACAAACGAAATACAATCTCACCTTATCCAGCGTGATTCCAACTTCTTCTTTTATCGTGCCCTACTGCCTCATGCAATTTGCTACTTATTTCAAAAACACCCTGCACTCAAAATAAAATAATTTTAATTCTCTATTATTATTATTTTTATACCTTTTATTTCTACATCGTCCGATTATAATTTTGTAAACAGATTTTGAAAATACCTGATCCAGATATGTTTAATAATTTTAAAAAACCTAATATTTACCATAATGTTTTCTAACTTGAATATTTCCATTAAATAAGTCTTTATCCGATGAACTCGATTGTTTACGGAATGAAAATTAAGTGAACTGGTTGATTTTATGTTTAAGTGTTTTTTTATGTGGTCCTAAAAACGTTTTAGGAGCTTATCTTCGGCGCCGAAAATTGGCACTGGTAAAACCTGTTCGTTTTCTTTTTGTGAATGAACCTTATCAAGTCTTATGGTTATGCTTGCTGTAGGTTGTTGGTTCATTGGTGAGTGTTGTCCATTCGTGAAAACGAACCGTTAGCTGATATAGTACATTTACAATAAATGGAACGAATGCATTTAGTATCTTTGATAGCCGCGTGTCTCGTTTGATGTTTTGCGCATGCGAGAGTCCTAAAGCAAAGTGAATTCGTGTTGCTAGCCGCCTGTAGCGCTCTAGAGCACTGTTCATCCTTCATTAAATTTAGTCCTTAAGTTAACTAAAATTAAGTGATAGAAATCAAATCATCAAAAAAAATATATTTTCGGCAATATAAATAGAACCGTTCTTACCACGTGCATGAAAAACTAGTATATGATGTACTGATATGTTATAATGTAGCTAGTAAATTCTAAACATTTTGACTGTATAGTTTAATTGCTATTATTAAATAAATATTGAGAAATTAGATCTGACACATCGGAGGAAGTGATTAAATAAAAAAAAGCGAAGAAGATGAAATACATACACGTAACTATTAAAGTATCGTCATACTGTACTGAATATTTTGCAATGTTGACAGATTATATGTGACTGCTCAGGAATGGTTAATATTATATCAAAAATTTTTCATGATACACTCGACTTTTACACTCAACAGAATGCTTACAACGACGACTATTTTCCATATTTACCTTACCAAATCAACTTTTCTAGATCATCTCGAATGGATAAAACGATACAAAACCTGTAATAAACCGCATTTATAGGTAGCTATAATTTCAACTTATGAGGTCTCCTTTATTACCGTCTAATATAAATTTGACCACTATTGGTAAAAAGGTTCTCCAGTATTTTCTAGAGTCTAGACTTCTAGACATTTGCAACTGTCTCGGGTAGCACGATATATTCAAAACTCATCCCTAGAAAATTTCCAACTGCAATTTTTTTAATCCCTGAAAGGTTCACCAGTATTTTCTATAGTCTAGACCTAGTCGATCTAGCTTTAAAGAGCGACACGTTGTGGCCGTAAATTCATGGATGTAAGGTCATCCCTGTAAATGAAACTAGGATCAAGTAATATATCACTTTAAAGGCGATTTAATTGCCTTTACAAATATGCTGACATTTTTTTGTTTTGCGCTATAATTGATGTGAAAACCCAGTTGGAAATGTAGGTTGAATTAATTAAAAATAGTTCTCAAACAAGTTTTAATTCATTAAATGTTCAAAAGACGTGGCCGGATGAGCATATGAGAAATGCCCAAATCCAAATTTTTTGTATTTCAGGTGTTATGTAGATACCATTTACAAAACCCCTTACAAAATTTTATTTCAAAAAATTAGTTTTTTTCGCCAAATATAAGAAAAAAATGAAAAATCGAAAAAGCTTTTTTCTCAGAAATTACTGCATCGATACCATTCGAAGTTTATTTACAAAAAAATAAACGTAAAATTTTCCTACTAAAAACAAGTAAACATTTTTTTTTTATATTATTGACATAACACCTCCAATGTTTTTTTATAAATTCTTATATTTATCTGTAACAATAATTTTTTCAAAATTTTAAAAATGGTAGGACATTGTCAATTGATAATGCTCTCAATAGCTGGTTTACTTTGTGAGATCGCTTGTTTCTTAAATAACCGTTTCAGAAAACAACTGGTCGGTGATCAAGAATTTGTATATGAAATAGGTACTGATATATCGCATAGAAAACACGGCGCAGTTTACACAAAACACTCTATTTTTTTAGAAAATGAAGTATAAAGACAAAAAAAATTAATTATTAAAACTAAAAATTGCTTGTGGCACATGTTCGACCAAGACCAATGTATTCAATGTATTTTCTTACCTGCTTTAATGATTTCTGTATTGTGGTTGATTTCTGTAATGTGATCGTCGTTTTCAAGAATCTTTGCATTGACCGTGTTCGCTACTGAGATTTTCCACTCAAAGAGATGCATGCGCAATAACTTTTTCATGGAGTACGCATGCTCAAAATTAATAAATTATATGTTGTAGCATCAATAATAATAATATTAATTTTGAGCATGCGCGGCACATCACATTGAATAGGAAATCTCAGTAACGTACACGGCCAATGTTAAGATAAATTATTCGCCAACTAAGGTAAGATTCACTCGGTAAATTATGCCGGAGAGAAAATGGATCAACAATACTATTCATCAAAATCCTAGCCCCTTTCCTTGATACTACTCTTGCACGAGATGAATCTTATACGAACAATGTGACGACTTTCATGCTTTTTTAGTCTCCTTGAATTTAAATATCAAATTTCTAATGAAGATGTGCCTAAGTATTTCCATTGCCATGGTCTCCTCTATTTCGAGATAAATTAAGTTTTGGTAATAAAAGAAGCATTTTTTTCAATTAAATTAATAGGGACCCAACGCCATGCAGTTTTCACTGTTTTGTATTAGTATATTTTTTTATTTCAATCAGCTGCAGCAGTTATTTACCTTTTTATAAATTCGTTATTTAATTGCTTAACAGTAAAACCAACAGCTTTTTTGTATTTGTAGCTAAAGATTATGGGTTGTTTCTTACTGACGAAGATAATAATACGGGAGTATGGTTAGAATCTGGGCGCCAACTTGCTTATTACATTCTACGTAGCGGAGATATGTTGGAATATAGGAAGAAAGTGAGAACCTTACGAGTTAAAATGCTAGATGGTAAGACATGAATAGTGTATAGTTGTTTATAGTGTGGTAGTTTGAAAAGTTTGATTGTAAAAAGTTATGTCAAATAAAAAATTTAAATTAATCATCGCCATTTTGAGAGTATCTACTATAATAAATAAACTAAAGGAGAAATCGTAACTACCACTAAAGCTTTTTACTGCAGACCAGTGTTTCTGATGCAGATATTATCAACGCGAGGCTAATAACGGTCTCATTAGAAAGGGGGAAACACTTGTTCGCAGTGAATAGTTTTGGTGTTAATTAGATGAGTAATATCTTAGTTTATTTGAGTGCTGAATTTTTCGTTTTTAGGGTCTGTGAAAACTATGCTCGTTGATGACTCTCAGATAGTTGCCAACTTAATGGTTGTAATTTGTACTAAAATTGGCATTACAAATCACGACGAATATTCATTAGTTTTGGAAGAAAGAGAACGTGACGAGAAAGAAAATCTTGAAAATAGAAATTACAGTACGCTAACTCTTAAACGAAAAAAAGAAGAAAAAGAACGCGATGCAAAAATGGAACAATTACGAAAAAAACTTAGAACTGATGATGAAGTAAATTGGGTAGATCCTTCTAAAACACTGCGAGAGCAAGGAATCGATGAAAATGAGACAGTTTTGCTTCGTCGTAAATTCTTTTATTCCGATCAAAATATCGATTCTCGAGATCCCGTTCAATTAAATTTATTATACGTACAAGCTAGAGATGCTATAATTGGAGGAACGCATCCTGTCACCCAGGAAAAGGCTTGTGAATTTGCAGGAATTCAATGTCAAATACAATTTGGAGACTATGTAGAAAATAAACATAAACCTGGATTTTTGGAGTAAGTAGCATACCTATTATGCAAAATATACGACTTATTTAAAATTTATAAAATTGTGGGAATATGAAACTATGGAAAATAAACAGGAAGTACTCTTTGTTGTCATAAACTGCATTTGCTGATTTTTATACTTATTTACTGTTGATAATATTGTTACTGGTTATTCGTCCCAGTTTTGACTCTCTTCTTCACTCTTCTAATTTCACATTCTCTTCGTCGTCTCGTTACTAGAACCTATCTCCTTCTGCCTCGCGGCAGCTATTAACAGGGGCTGGATTTGTTCTGGAAAGATTCCATTCCAGAATGTACGTTCTAGGAAATTCTGCCTATACTCTGTCTAGACAACCTTTGAGGTTTCTTTACTCCCCCTCCTAGGAGTAATCGTTCCTATCAGCGACGTCTTCTCTGTATGGAACAGGGCGTTCAAGGTGAGCGACCTTTATCTTTTCTTGAGCGACACACATCAGTCATTACTTGAACCAGTTCCACGTTGCGCCATCTACACTTCGTAGTCCATAAAATTGCTTGTGTCTTGCATTTTCGCAAAATTTCAAACTGTAGAACTCTTGTTCTAACGTACTTGTCTAAGTAGTGATGTAAATCGCGGTGTATGACTCCATTGGTAAATATTTACACTAGCAGTTGGTCTATGAACTCTTAAAGTAAGAGGGGTACCTGAGCTAATCCTGCGAGGCGTTCCATGTTGAACGTTATTTAAGTCTGTTTTCATCTTCTGTTTCATTTATTTTTTAGCTGCTTTTAATTCTTCTTTCATTTCTCCTGTCCTTTACCCGTTTTTTCTTGTCCCTTTTGCATTTTCAGTTTCATTTTATCTTCTTTTCGTTTTTTGTATCATTGCTACAGAAACTATCTTTAAAGCTTTATTTGTTTCGCCATTTTTGCTTGGATACCCGTGGTTGTAACAAGCATTAAATATCTCGATTTCTTTCGATTTTGATAAAATTGTTCTTCTCTGTTCACGAGCTTTCCAATGAAACATAAATTGCTGGGGTAATTCACTATCCGTAGAAAATGCGATTAAATTCTTCGATGACGTTAAATTTGTTTTTCTCTCTTTAAAAACTTTCCGATGATATAAGAATTGTTGGCTTAATTCGCAATCCGTGGTAACCTTCAGAAAATTCGATGAAATTTACGATCGATAGCAACTTTTAAAAAATTTCATGGAACACTCCAATAAAGCCAGTGTCGTTCTTTCGTTCGTCGAGAGCTTTCCAACAGCATATGGTTTGTTGGGTTTATTTACAATCGATAAAAACTGACCGATGGAACTTCTGGAATATTTGATGGATTTCTTCAGAAAATTCCTTCCTGTCTTTTTCCGTCCCACTCCTAACTAGAATGCCGTCTAATCAAACACCCTTCGTACAAGTAACATATCTTTCTAATTGAAGTAACATTACTATTATTAATTAAACACACGCTCACTACTCTATCACTTATTGCAAGGCTTTTTACTCTTATTTCGCCTTCTGTTTCTCGCAACTTGAACTGTTGACTTTTCGATCCCACGGCAGCTATTCAAAGAGGCTCAATTTGTTCTAAAAAGATTCAGTTCTAGAATGTAAGTTCTTTGCAACTAGTGCCTACCCATGACATTATCTTTATTATTAAAAATGCATTGTTAATAACCGTTGTTGTACCATATATCTACCAGCAAACCAAACTCTTTCTTGTAACTGCTTCTTCGACGTGAAGTTAGCCACTCACTACATTTACTTCAAGAAGGAAAAAAGTACTATTTCAACAGATGCGGTACAAGCAACTTTAATAAACGGTTTTAAATGTGGCAGTTTTATGGTATATTTCCTAAGAATCCAAAATTTTTTAAAAATTCCCAAAGTGAGACATAGAAAGACTTAAAGTGCTTTTAAATAACAAGATTTGAAATGACAAAGTTCAAACTTCTTCTCGGCAGTATTTTTAATGCCTTAAAGATTCTAATAAACCATTTCAGTTGTTAAAATATGCAATATTACGCAATTGTCATTTCAATATCATTTTCTTTTTAGTTTAAAAGAGTTTTTACCTCAATCTTATGTACGTGTAAAAGGAATAGAGAAGAAAATTTACAATGAACATAAAAAACATATTGGATTGAGTGAACTTGATGCAAAAGTATTATACACAAAAATTGCTAGATCTCTGAAAACGTATGGTGTTACATTTTTCTTAGTGAAGGTTTGTATAATATACATGTTTATAAGTAAATTATATGCATGAAGTAGTATTTCAACGTGTACAAAATGGTTTTAAATTTTTTATATTATTATTTAATATATTATGTGTTATTCACATTCCCCGAATTTGGGCAAAGCCATAATGCTTTGTGGGTGCTCTATATGGCCTAGTACACGAACAGCGAAGTTCACTTCGGAGAATGCCCAAATTCACTTACGCATTCCGCGGAGGGAGTGTTTCGGTGTGCTTAGTAGCCGATTTTAAGCTTCCGAGTGTAGCTTCTTCGGGTAGTATACATTGCACTTTGTATACTTTGTGAAGAAAGAAAATAATTTTACTCGCCCCTCGGAGTGGCTGAAGTCTTCGGTTGATAGTAAATGCACACTTCTCAAACGCTTATCTGAACTTGTTTATGAGGTTTCCTTTGTGAATCAACGCTTGTGTAGTGGTACCTATGCTTGTACTGTGGCTAGTTAAGTTACCGGAAATTATAAGCGCCTAATAAAAACAAAATGTTCGAAGAAACTACCAAGGAAGCAGTTAAGTTTGAAAGTAAACTTGAAATTGAAATATCAAGTGCACGCTTGAGACTCGTATATAACTTTCACCACGTAATGTGTTAGTAATACTGTTATTTCGTGTAAGAATGTTGTTTCTTGTTTAAGAATAAGATGTTTTATTTCCACTATTGAACATTTTATGACGTCCGTTCTTTCTCCAACTCCGCGGAGCGCGTAAGCTATTTGCCCCTTTCGCGAAGTATGCAAAATAGATTGCACACTGGCTACTGAGCATATCGAATTACCTGCTGCGCGGAATGCATAAGTTATTTAGGAGATTATTCGAAATGAAATGCGCTATTCGCGGTATTGAGAATAACATATAAAAAAACAAAGGCAAATGAAAAAAGACTTACGATTAGTTTAGTTACTTTGGTTAAATGGTATTTATAGAATGCACATGAGTATTTTCAAAGTACATTTTTTCCGCACTTCATTCAAACAGAAATTAATACATATTGGCATGATTAAAATTTACGTTCTGCGAGTGCAAAATCTTAAAAGCCAACTTTAGAACTTTTTTGAAAATAATTTGAACTTTTTAAGTCCCACTGTAGTGTAAAGTATGTTGAATTGAGTAAGTACAGTAAGTAGTAAAGTATTTATTTCAATTTATTTTATTATATTTTCGCTAGCTTTCTTCTTTATTTATTTTATGTATCTTTAATAGGAAAAAATGAAAGGTAAAAACAAACTTGTTCCACGCCTTTTGGGAATAACTAAAGATTCTGTATTACGTCTTGACGAGAAAACAAAAGAAATTTTAAAGACATGGCCATTAACAACCGTAAGAAGGTGGGGTGCTAGTCCTAACACGTTTACTCTAGATTTTGGAGATTATTCCGACCAATATTATTCGGTTCAAACGACAGAAGCTGAACAAATCCAGCAAATTATTGCTGGATATATTGATATTATTTTAAAGAAGGTATGTAGTTTTTGTGTAAAAAAACAACAAACCAATAATAATTTTTTAGAAACAAGCTAAGGACCATTTTGGTATAGAAGGAGATGAGGGATCAACTATGGTAGAAGACAGTGTATCTCCTCATAAGTATTAATAATAGGTTTATTTTTTCTATATGTACATTAATACGTGTCTTTTAGAGCAACGATACTGCAGCACGAAACCAATAAAATAGGAAAGATAAATACTGAGTCTGTAGCTAAACCAGCTGTGATGCGCGCTGGAGCTGACGGTAAATCAGAAATTTATATCTTTAAAAATTTGTATATCTTCAAATATTTGTAGTTTGATTTTTTCTGTGCTTATTTCATTGTCTCGTCTTCACGCTTCCATTTAAAGAAACATAATTGAAGGTACGAAATTATGTACCTACATAAAAATAATTGATTTATTTTACAATTGTGTCTGCATAATAATAAATAATTTGACAAATTAAAATTATTATGTAACGTTAGAATCCGAAAGTATTGTGTAGGTATATAATTTCAAATTAATTGTGAACATCAATAAAACATCTTAAATTATTATGTACCTACCTATGCAATGTTGCAAAAAGTCTGGAGTAGAGGCTTATACACTTGGCGCATCCAAATACACACTATCTACGCTTTCACGCTATGGGTACGTTCCTAAATAGAAAGCTGTGCGCTGGTAAGTACGATTTGTCGTCATCAACACTGGCCAGTATTATTTTAATTTGAAATTAGAGGTTATCCTATAATAGTGATTCCGACAATGATGATTTTTCATACCAGTACAATATGGCGTCTTTCGATGACGTCAAATTGTTCTGGCCAGTGTACTGGTTTCTTTTTAGGAACATACCCTATACTTTGTCTATTTCATCTAGATCCCCCGCGAACGTTAGTAGTCTTAGCATTTTTTGTTTTCTGCATTTAAATTTTTCTGTTTAATTAATTATCTTATTAATACAGTTATTCAATCATTTTAGACTGTTTAACTGAAATTTGATCAAACTGTTTTCCAAACATAACGTGACATGCAAAAAGAAACAAAATTTAATAGGTATCATAGTAATCTTATGTTAAGGGTATGTCGCAACCCCCACTACATCCAATGTACGTGTGTTCCTGGGTATTCGATATTCCATCTGCGAATTTGGGAATTTATCCCTCACGTTGTTCCGCCCCAAGTTGAGTCAGTGGTGATGAGAGAGTAACGACTAAACCCTCGGCGACGACGATTAGACGTATATAATGAAATATTGTTGAAGATTGGCTAAAAGTGATCGAAATAAGCATTGGCAGATGATTTGCAGGCAATATTACTACTTCAAAGCTTACCAGACTCTTTTGAAAAATTCAGATGTGATTTGAAAACGTGTTATGATCTACCAATACCAGAGTATTGCGAATAAAATTTTTAGAAAAATACCCATAAAATTAACGAAGAGAAAACTGATATGTAATATGCCCGAACGTAACACAATCAGAACAGCTACAAAAGTACGCGAAAAAATAAATTTCATAATCAGCGAGATTAATAAGGACGCTACAGTGGTTGTTTGTTAAAAATGCCTGTAGGTAAAACTGTTCAAGAAGTTCGAAGAGCATTTGTGTATACGGACTATAATAAAATTAAAAAAACGTAGGGACCTTAAAAGTAATATCGGTCCTTAGTTCGGTGTTCAGTGAACTCTTGCAGGTGGCAGATATTACCATTACGGTATCATTAATAAATCGGACATATGGTCAATATTTCGAGTCAATACCCCATAGTAAGTCGGTTACCGGAAGAATTTTATCGCATATACTGATACATTAATAGTAGCTTGAGGGGATAATTCATAAGTCTATTCTGATATGCAAAAATACGAAGATTGTTGTTCAAAAAAAAGCAAGCGCATTGTAAAAATGACACACCTATATGCATTTAAATGTATAGTATTAAACAACAAGAGAAACGGAAGATTTGAACTTGTAGAAGCAATAAACATTATTAATAGAACCAGAATCCCTTATTCCAATAAGGCAACAGGAAGATGTAAGTCTAAATTTAATAGAAAGTGCCAAAATTGATAACTGTGAATCCAATGCAATGAGCTTTGATATAAATATGTTTTATAAAAAAGATTTTTTCAGCGTTTAATATAAAATTACAAGGTAAACTCTAAATGCTTGTAGAACGTTTAAATCCAATATCACAAATCCTGTAGATAAAAATAATATTACAAGTGAAAATACTGGAAAATTCATCCACCTCATCATATGCCTGAATCTTAAGCGCTTCTTACGCAGTTAAAGATATTATTTCTGTGTAAGGCATCATGAAAGTAGCTGCTAAATATCACAGAGCTAATGAAGAAGCTATTTGTCTTTGTCAGCTTATATTTACAGCGAGCTTTTTGGTAGCTTGGAACGAAAAAAATTTAGTTTACTTAAAATAGTTAAAAATTTGACCAGGTCCACTATTAAAGAGAAGAGACTTGATGTCCTAATGATGATAAAAGGCGAAAAAGACCTTTGCGATGGACCTAAACAACATTGTGAATTTGTGGACGAATCTTAAACACAGGCGAATTCGAGTAAGATAAATATATTAGCCTATTGTGTTAGGTAGTCTTTTATTAATATCAATACTTTAAGAAAGTTTTTCGGGTTCGATTTTCGGCGAGAGTGACAGTAGCTACAAAATTTTTCCTAATTAACTTGAGGTAATGTGTCGTAAAATTAAACTTGTTATTTATAAATGTATATTTTTGAGCATGTGTGTAAACCTTTAGTTGGAAAATTAAAGTACAACAGTTGGTTAATCGGTTGCGTCCCCCACTCCAAAACAGAATACTTCGCTAGGGTCCTATAGAGTCGTACAATTTCTAAAAGAGGAATCGGGTTAAACGCTTTCCGAAAATGTCAGTGGCAGAAAAATTAAAGAAGGAACTAGAAGTGTACCAAATGAATGTAATTATAACATACAACAGTCAGCTGGAAGAGGACGTGCAAGTGCAAGTACCCGACAAAATAATTATCAGTCTCACAAAAACCGGCAAACCGGTGACGGTAGTGTCGGACATCATTCGCGCACTAAACAAATTGACGTAACATTGTTGTACACGCGCTTATTAATGAAATGGTCTAATAGAATTAGAATATTTTCCCTTACAAAAAATGCCTACAGACGTGTTAATAAAGGGATTGTGCAGTAAGAAACATCGACAATGCGTTTGGAATCTATATCAATTGTACTTGTGTTACTACTACGGTTCGATATTCGATTTCCGAGTCTGCCAATATACCCCACACTCGTTATCCCTCCCCCCACTCAGTAATGAAAGAGTTTTGATAATACATTTATATATATATATCGNATATATATATTTCTATTGTCGTATGCTTTTTTTACTTTATTTAACTGTATTTATTTATCTTCGTTAATCGTAATATCTAAAATCGGGCTTACTAATTCCGTAAACGAACGGAACTGGACTGTATACTTTGCCTTTGCATGTAACACGCGCAGAACCGTATACTTAGTGCTTTGCCTCCAAATCAACTTCTTTGCAACGTTGCCATAGTTTTGTAGTTACATTTGGCTGATCCTCAATATAGCATCTAAATATATATAAATGGAGGATATAGCGCAATTTTAACTTTTGACTTAAACATCATTTCTGATTAACTTCGTTTCTATTGCTTCAAAAAATTTGAAACTCTTTTGACCATAATTTTTGAATTATGATAGTACAATACTATGAGTAAGTTTAGAGATTTATAATCGTATAAATGTATAAACTTTTTTTAAAATCTTAACTAACGATTTTCCTAAATTAATAAACCAGTGAATCATGTTTTAAAAACTTTGTATAATCAGTAATTTGTAGTTGAATAACTGATACAGATAGACTGGAGAAAGTTTTTGCTTTGATTTAATTACCCATAATAATATAATGCCTATAAAATATTAAATTCATTGTCCTAATAATGTTTTCTGAGCGAATTACTATTTCAAGTCTATATATGCATTACCTGAAATCATAAAATTATTCTTGCATGCACAGATAGCTCTCATTCTTTAAAGTACTCCTTTTTAAGATGTTCTTCAAGTGCACTTGCTTTTATCAGGAAATATATTTTTTTTTATTTCATATTTGCACTTTTATGATAAAGCTTATTTTTTCTTTACTGTTTGCCTCTTAATCACATTACGTACTGTGTAGTCCAGTGAATAGCAAAAATTTTGTTAAAAAATTAAGAACAGGATGCCATCTATTGAACATAACATTGTTTGTTTCGGTAAGCACAATTGAGGTTTCATTCCGAACTCGCATCGAGTGTTGCAAAGAACTAACTTTTAATTTCCAAAAGGTTTCGTATTAACTGCATTATTTATAACAAAAAAACATTTCTGTAACAGCTATTGTCCAATACTGAAGTTATTAAAATTCTTAATTAATTGATAACTGTTTTATGCAAATAAGTAAACCAATTGCCAAGTTATCAGTCATTTGTTTATAGAAAACTGTTTTCTTTCAGCGAAACGTCGTTTATGTTCAAGGGTTGTATTTTCATGTTTTAAAAAGTTATGTAGTTGAAATTCCAAAAAAAAACATGATTTATGTGTCAAAAAAGGGTACTCTTTTGTTATAAATATCTTCAGGTGTCTCCTATGAGCTCTAAAGATTTAATTCTTTTTGCAAAAGATTACTGAAAAAAATGCACATATTTAAAAAAAAAACAATCTTGTAGGACCTCTAGAACCGTAGGTAGGATTATTTTCTAAATCGCTGTGTGCTTGACTATAGCAAGTAAAACACGTAATGCCTTCATTTTAAATATTGAATGCCAAATTTCAACAAAATCGATTCAAATGTGGAATATTTTTGTAGGTATATAGTTAATTTAAAAAATATCAAATGAAAAAACAACATGGATCATAAAAAAATGTTAATAATCATTAGCAATTTACAGAAAATTTTGTGTAATAAGGTATTGTTAATAATTTTTTCCAACCGTGGATTAAAAAAATCATCCTTATTAGTTAATAATTAGTGGAGATAAACTAATTTTTTGACTCCCATCTTCCTCATGGGATTTACCCTATAATTTTTCAATAATTTATTTTCAACTTCATTAATACTTAAACGTTTTACAATACAAAATACTATTTTTTTTTACAAATTGAACTTTTTTTATTTATTGTTCAAGTAATAAAAATTTTCAGTATGCAATTATAGTAATGCGCATCCATTGAATTAAACGTTTGACGTGATATTTACAATAATCTCCGCTCTTTTTACAATAACTTATTAGATTTTACTAGACACCTCCCGTACATTTTGATCAAACGTGATTAGTAGATATCTGCTAATTGCTACTAGAAATCCTATAAGGTCGCTGTGTTTTGAATTTTGATTTCAGTAATTGTTTACAAAAAGAATTAAATCTCTAGTGCTCATAAGAGACACTTGATGTCGATTTGTTTATAACAAAAAACATACCTAGTTTTTGGCAAGATAAATTATGTTTTTTTTTTTGCAATTATAAGTTTAAATTTTTTTAGTACATGAAAGTACAGTTGCTGAATTTGGAAGTGCTCAACAACAAATAGTTGATGATACGTCGCAAACTACAATATGTGTTAATCTTTAAGTTGCTCTTTGTGATCATTAATAATAAAACTACGATTTTACCGAAAGACCTTCTTTATACTTACAAATTTTCAATTAATTTAAATTAACGAAAACACCATTCAACATGTAAGCAAAACTTTGAGAAGCTTTGGTCTATTCTTTCTCCCTTTTTAATCGTGTTTCTACAAGTTAGGAGGTGTTGTTAGTATATTGAAGTAACATACAAAAATAAATGTAAAAAGATTAACTTTGATGATGAATATCCACATTTTGGTGGACAATTGATGATAATCCACCGTGATTGATTTAACTTTTATTCGAAGATTTTTAGTTTTATATTATTACGTAAGCTTTTAGAAATTAAAGTGTTCTTTGCGACTTTGGATGCCTCACCCTCCTCCCCACACTCGATACGAGTCTGGAATGAAATCTCACATTGTGCTCACCGAAACAATGTTCTTGTTATTAATTTCTCAAAAACATTATTTTACTCCTGATTGACGATTATTTAATATAAAGTGATTTTGTTAAATTTAAAATTTCGCAAAAGTAACTAAATAATTTCAACGATCCGTAATTTTCATTTTCAATTTTGTTTTTACATCGAATATTTATTTTAATGACGTTCAGCAATTTTAGTTTATTTAGTGAATACAATAATGTGTAGAAGTATTATATTAATTATATACCCATTTACCTTTCTGGGTAAATTATTGTCGATTTTTTTTCCAATCTCAAAAAAGTTGTTAGGAGTTTCTTTTAAATTATCAAGTTTTTGTAAACACCAATTTTCTTGAAGTTTGTTTTTTAAATCGTTTTTTTTTTATTTTTAGTTCTTTTTAAAATTACTTGTTAATAGGGTGGCGTTAGGTTCTTTTTTGCTTTTATAAAAGTGCAACTTTATTAAACATATCATTTATTTTATCATGTTTAGTAAGGTATACCTTTGCAGGATCTAATTCAAAATCGATTTCATAGTAGGCGACAGTTCATTATTCAAGTTCTTTTGTTCTTTGTTGTTATATTTCTTTACTTTATAATGTACATAGGTCCCAAACCTTATGGCACTGGTCATGTAGGCGGAGCACAATACACAACTGTAAGTGGACAAATAAATCTAGCTCATACTCCTCCATCTCTTACTTCGGTAAGTATGTTTGTAAAGATTTTGCCTTACAAAAATCTCATGTAACCAAGTGGTTGTTAGTTTACGTTTGTTTCCATGTTTTATCCATAAACTCATAATGTTTTTGTTTCATGCTTTCTTGGGATAGGTGTTAGAGTAGGTATTTTCAGTATATGGACTTTTAGCAAATTAAAACGGAATAAATATTTTTTAACCGCAAATGTTACTATTACTTAGTTCTAGTCTTGTTGATTTTTAATTTTTAGCGTGTAAATTTTGAAAAGGTGACTGCTTGATAAAACTTAATCAAACAAATTATCTAAGCATTCACAAAAGAGTCATTTATTGGAAATAAAAGCAAAATTTTATTTTGCCACATACTGACTTGCAGTAAATAATATTTGATGAAGCCCATATTTAAAGAAATAATAATATAGTTTTATGAAAATTTTCTTTTCTATTAAATATAAATTTACTTGTAGATTCAACAAACAAGAATGTCGTCAGTACTTACTGAACCACAAAATGCTCTATTGTCAACAATAACTGCAACACAAGAAAGAATTAGAGAATTGTATACAAACCTATCGGCGAAAAGTACTATTCCTGTTCTTGGAACTGATATTTCTTCTAAGAAATGGAAGCAGATTACTTTGGATACACGTAAACAAAATGTCGGTTCCCAAATTGCTGCCATGAATGCAGCCACTGCACAGGCAAGAAAAATGATAAAATTTCATAATAAATGGCGTTAGCTACTGTAATGTATTAATTTTGATAGGTCGTAACACTTACATCTGCAACATCAGAGGAGGTTGATCATACTGCAGTGGGAGCTGCTATAACAACAATTGGAAGTAATTTACCAGAAATGACAAAAGACGTTAAGATGATTGCTGCTCTTATGGATGATAAAAATAATGGAGAAAAGCTTCTTGATGCTGCAAAGAAACTGTGTAATGCATTTAGTGATCTACTTAAAGCAGCAGAACCGGAGACCAAAGAGGTTAATATCAAATTCAAAGTGATTTAGTTTTTGTCTTTTCATTTTATTTTTAATTCTATGATTGAGTTTTAGTAAATTTTGCAGAAATTGATGAGATATTTTAATAATTATAGCCTAGACAGAACCTTCTGAATGCAGCGTCCCGCGTGGGAGAGGCAAGTACGCAGGTTTTAACCACATTGGGTGACGACAGCATCGAAAATAAAGAACTCCAGGATATGCTTCTTTCGCTCGCTAAAGTAGTTGCGAATACAACTGCTGCTCTGGTTTTGAAAGCAAAAAATATTGCAGCTACTTGTGAGGATCAACAGACACAAAATAAAGTTATTGGAGCTGCAACTCAATGTGCTCTTGCCACATCTCAATTGGTAGCGTGCGCCAAGGTAAGTTTTTTTATTATTATTTTTTTAACAGGGTATGCACCATGCGTATTATACGTATATATATATTTGTCATTTTAATTTAGGTATACACGGTTAAAAAGTCGGATATAAGCAGTAAAAGAAAAAGTCGTAGTTAGCATCTTTTGAATGGGGCTGTTACTTTTTTATAATGCATTATTTGAGAAAGGTTTCAGATATTTAATCTTTTCACAATTTGTTAATTTATTTTTAACCTTATTCTTTCGAAGAGGCAATCATATAGTTTCATAGAATATTTTCTTTTTCTCTGTAATTGAATAAACAATTTTTTAGTGAAAGTATGCGTATCAATAGAAATGCGTAGGAACTTATAAAACGTTACTTCTTGCAATCTATAAATAATACTATGTGGTTAAAAGGAAATTGTGTATTTATATTAGGTTTAATTTTTTGTACATATTTATAGGTTATAGCTCCAACTTTACATTCATCAGCTTGTCAAGAACAGTTAACGGCAGCCGTGAAAGAAGTAACTAGAGCAGTGGAAAAATTAGTAAAAACTTGCAGCGAAGCCTGTAGAGAAGATGATTTATTAAATCAGTTAAATGCTGCTGCAGCAGATGTTTCTGCTTCACTAAATAATTTATTGAAGCACATAGAGGGAGGTACGTTTACATATAAAAATATTAGCGGGCAATATGCAATTGTGTAAAACATGATGCCCGTTTGCACCGACGTAAATAAGTACTACTTAGCTTTAAGTAGTTCTTAAAAGACGGAATTGGTTTGCACCGCAAGTTAAGTCGCGCTTAAGAATCGAAACAGATGCTTAACTTTAAGCACAGGATGTTCCTGACTTAAGCATTGCTTAAACCTATCGTAACAATTTCGGCAGTAGTTCGGCATTTTTCGCCGTAAGAAAATAACTTCGTTATAGTAGAGGTTATTATCATTTTACTATTAAATAATAAAATAAACAATACAATAATTATTAAATTAAATTATCATCAAATGGAAGTTGGTGTGTGTTATCATTTATGTAATTGTATTGCAATGTACGGATTATTTACATTCCAAGAGTAGTAATTAGTATCTGATACTTACTTCAGTCCCTGAAGAAGGTAACTTTGTTACCGAAAAGTGCTTCGGACAACTACAGTGTCTTGTTTTGTCGTTGGGGTTTTGAGCTATTCTGTTTGTTCTACAACAACCGCCAAAGTTTTTCCAATCTTCATATTTAGTATCTGATGATATATTAGAAATTTGAAAATGTACACAATTTTACTGGAGTAGTGATAAGAACGCCAATAGCTAATCATTAGTAATAGAAGGTGAACTAATAATATACAATAATAGTACGTTTTATCAGCAGTTTGGTTTTTATTGAAAATAAACACTTTTAGATTACACTTAAGAGTTCATTTTGGCAGTTGGCGTTAACAGTTGAACTCCTGTAGTACTGCTTTTAGTTGGAAAAGGTTTGTTTATACGAAATTCAGAAGAAAATTGACTAATATATATACAAACTAAAACACAACAAAACCTAACAAAACATAAATAATTACAAAAACAAAAACGTATAACAGCAGAAAAAGGCGGCAAACAACACTTCACGACAACAGACGTTACTTAACGGACACAATAAATTTGAAACTTCTTGACCATTCTGCACAAAAAACCCTACAAATTACTAAATTTTACCGTTGTTGCCAAACCATCAACAACTAAGCGCTACTTACTTAAGTTGCAGGTAGACAGCGTACGGTGCAAACGAATTGGAAGTTAAGTAAGACTTATGCTTAAGCAGTACTTTGTTAAGTCTGCCTTAGTAAAACGTCGGTGCAAATGGGCATCAGTGTATTAACTTAGTACATGAAGAAGTAAAGGGAAAGATTGTTTGTTGTTTATTTTTTAAATGCCTCTTTAATTTTTCTTTGTAAAGTAATAGTGTCTCATTGCGCAGTTATAAAAAATGTACTTATTTTCACTTCAGTATTATACACAACACCAGATAATAATAAACATGAAGAACAGTTATATAATAATAATACAAAAATAATTTAAATTCAACTTCTGTTAGATTTAAAGTTACAAAGGTATATTTTATAGGAGATTTATATTAACCGGATTTTTGGGGTAAACAAAATCCATACATTTAATTGTGATTGTTAAATTGGGACTGCTGCAATTTTTTAATGATAATAAAGTGTCAGGCAAATGATCTGATGACTGTAGTGTTCAAATATACTGAATGTATAAAAAAAAAACTAGCATCCACAGCTCAAAATTCCCAATAATTCCTAACAAAGTTATAAAGAATTACTGTAAATGGGGCTGTATGTACTTCTAGACAAGCGGAAGATTGCCGAAAAATGACTTAGAAAAAGAAAATACCGATCACGGGGTCCTAGTGACTAATTTTTATGATTTTTTAAATATTTTTGGTCGCTAAATGGGAATGTGATTTTTATTTTTATCTGAGGTTAATCAAAATTCCAAAAAAAAAAATAATACTTTTTTTGTATTGAACTCGCCATATTTTAAAGTTTTAGGTATTTTCTTTTGAAATCTAGACTGTTTGGTTTCTAAGCAACTTTAAAGGTTTCAGTGTGAAAATTAATAGGAGGCGGCAATTTATATGATCAATCGTGTAGAGCAGGGATGGCGAACCTTTACGTATCGACGTGCTATTTTTAATAAGAAAAGTTTAATCAGGTCAAAGACGTGCCGTCAAATAATTTTGTCTCTGTGATTATTGGGAAAATAATAATAATATCAACTTAAACTTTTTTATTTACTACAAAAAAATAGGAACATTTTGCAATGTTTAAATTATACGTGTAATTTAAATTAAAGTAAAATTAGTGTTACTTTTGTTGTTGCAGATTAGATGACAAATAACTTATGTTAGGGTTTTAAGATGTTACTTTTAGCAGAATGCATGCTGAACTGGAGTCATCTGTCAAACGATTTCTAACCGAGTTTTTAATGTTATTCATCTCTGAAAATAATGACTCGCAGGCATAAATTGAGGAAAAAACATTGTTAAAATAGCATAAGCCAGCTTCTTCAAACAATTAAAAGTGTTTGGTAACGCATTTCATGTTTCCAAAATTTTGTTATTAGCATTTTCACTTGTATTAGCCAATCTTTCTGTTTTAATTAGTTTCCTTATTTCAATAAAGTTTTGGATCCATATTGAACTAGACTTTATGATTGATATTAGTGACGTGCCCAAAATATTGTGTCGCGTGCCACTAATGGCACGCGTGCCATTGGTTCGCCATCCCTGGTGTAGAGTATTTACGACTGGTTCTGTAACGCTTAAGTATATACAGCTTCCCGCTCGCCTATTAGTATATCACTATTTGATTTGGAAAGACTGAATATTCTTTATTAGAAACACTTGTATTTATCTTAAATTAATTAGCATATGTCAGTTTTAAGAATTCTATAAAAGCTGACAATCGCATCGAAATATTACTGTTTCAGCTTCGAAACCAAAACTTGTGGAATCAATGCCAGAAGCAAGTGTTGAAACTATTTACATGGCAGCCGATAAATTAACTGCAGCATCTGGAGATGCAGGAGAAATGATAAAACAAGCTAGAGTTCTCGGACAAGCAACTGCAAGACTTATAGAAAGCATTAAGGTAAAATTATATTAATATACTGATACATAAAATTAAAGCTAGAAACCCACCAATTTGATAAATAAACAATTATATTTAGAGAAAGGTGATTAAATTAAATGAACACAACAACTTAACTATATATTCATTATAACAACTAAAAAGAAATGATTAAAAATCAAAGCATTTGCAGCTAATCGATAACATCAAAAATTAGCAATGAATATTTCCTAACACTCTTTAATTTAATAATTTTTATACCTTTATACTAATACTCGTACAGTGATGTACATAGACAAGTCCATGTGATGAGCGTACAAAGCCTCCATTTTCTACTAGATTTATTTACAGAGGGTATTTTTAATATTATTATGAAGGTAGGTATATAACAACTGAGAACCAGTTAGCGAATGTTATAGCAATCTCTCGCAAAACATAAATTTTAGGTATTGAAATATATTTAGTTAAAGGAAACATTTTATAAATAAGAACGTTTATTTTATGTTTTTGGTCAAAAATATATAGAAACTGCTTGACTAAGAATTTAAAATAAATATGCTGCATCGTCCATTCAGTTGATATCTTAATAAGGTTTTGTCTAACGCATGCAACAAAACATCAGTAGATGACGATATACTGTACACACTTGGATATTTTATAAATATATTATCCACTTGTTAATTAGAAGTGATTTAGTTTTTAGAGAAAAGTTAAAAATGAAAATCTTGACGATTAATAAGCAACACAGCTTTTCAAATAAAATAACATTTTTTCAAATTTTCCTTGTTACAATATCGAGCTAATTGTGACAAGTTATTTCAAAAAATTAAAAAAAACAAACTTTTGCTTTTATATCGTTGATAGGTTATACTGTACTTTAAAATTATAAAAAAATCAGGCCACAATTTTAATACTAACCCCGCACTCATCTTCATTTGCCATTATCTACACCCTTGCCCCTAAATATATACTTATTGTAAGGATGGTCCGTTACTGTAATAGTTCAAAATATTTTATTGTATTTCTTTTTATATAAGAATTTTAAAACATAACAATTGTATTCCTATAGGGCGAGGCTGAAAAGCATTCTGACTCTGACGTCCAAAAACGTTTACTGGCTGCTGCAAAAACATTAGCCGATGCAACCGCTCGTATGGTCGAGGCCGCAAGACAATGCGCTAGTAGTCCCCACGACGTAAAATATCAAAATAATCTCAGAAGAATGGCTGAAGATTTAAGAGATGTTACTACTATAGCTGCAAGTACTCCAGCGTTGAGATCTAAACTTGTCAATTGCGTTCAGGTGAGTGTATAAGTACATGAGACGTTTCTTATTGTCAACATTCACGACTTTTTTTCAAAAAGAAAATCTTAATGTTAGTGCACAATAAATTTAATAGGATAGTTTTTAAAAAAGTTATATTGCATATTATTAAATACTTTAATTTGATTAGCAGCACCTATAAATGAAATGGCCCTGTTCAGTAATTTTTTATACGTTTTGTGTAGTTTTCAATATTTTGTTTATGTCTTTAAAAGTTGGTATTACTAGCTGTTTTCGTTTTCGGGATATAAGAAGTTAAAATTTGTATTAGTCGCAAACACAGGGCGGCCGCTAATAACGCACTATACGCAATTATGGATTGGGGGATGTTAACTACCGTTCAGATAAAACGTGGCTTTCTGGAAAATTGTGTTCAACTAAGTTGCATTTAATTCTATTTAATCTTCGCCTATTTTGTATTTTTTGATCAAAGCAATACTGGGATTTAAATGTATTTTATTTAAAAAACCACAGCCAATGTTTCGTCCAAGTTGTTGGGATTTTTGAAGGCTTGTTTTATTTAGTCAAAAATGAAATACTGATGAAATTTAGTTAAGAGATCAACAATCATTAATATTTTTTTTTTTTACAGATAAAACTCTAAAAACTGACTAACATAACAATTATTTTAAAACCGTTGCACGATTAAATTAAATGTTATGTTAGTTTTTAGCGTTTTAGCTATACAAAAAATTTTTATTAATGTTTGTTAATGGTTGTTGATCTCTAAGCATGTCCTTTGACCAAATTCCATCAGTATTACATTTTTGACTAAATAAAACTAGGCTTGAAAAAGACCAACACACTGGACGAAACGTTGACTGTGATTTTTTAAATATAATAAATTTAAATCCCAGTATTGCTTTGATCAAAAAGAAGTAAGTTTGATTTAATAAAGCTACTTCTGTTAACATCTCACAAGTTAACATGATTATGATAATAAAGAGTATCTACATCACTACAGAACTGAATTAATTAAAACTACAAAGGTAGCTACGTTTTTAGTTTAATAACTGAGTATTAATCACTCTAATACATATTAAATAATTTCAATTTTTTTTACATAATTGGTAAATATGTATTAAGTATATTATAACTAACAGTAAATTATTCGTGATTAATTACTGCTATTTGAATGCTCAAAGAAATAGAAGGTATTAAAAGGCAAAGTTAAAATTAGTTTTTTGCAAACTAAAAAACTTATGAGTACTTACTACTTATTTTTGCATGCAAACATTATTATAAAATGGTCCTCGCAACAAAATCTCGTATGTTTGACGGATACAAAATCTTATGTCTGTTTGACATTTTGATTTAGCCTTTTGTCGGAAGGGAAACAAATAAACAATTTATCCAGAGTACGTGTACTTGCATTTATGCATTCTGGAATTATGTAATACCAGCAAGCATTTTTGCAGACATATTGAGTCAATCTACATAAAAAATTAGCAAAGTCGTGTACAATCACCGGGCCAATGCATATAATGACGTAGCATAGGTGTGGTCCTTTTCCAGCGCTTTGTAATACGGCACTGAAATTGCGAATAAAACTCCCGATTTCTTGAAAATGTTGTATTTTTCACTTGTACATTCGATTTATAAAATAAAATAAAAATTGCTATTGTACTCGAGATATAAAACTTTGGGGTTTATTTTTGGGAATACAATCATGTGCGTGCTGTTAAATTTTCAAGCAAAAATATTTGCAAACTTCTTACCTGTAAATGCAAAAATCGTGAATTCTTGTTGTCTCAGCTCCAAATAGACCTAGGACAAATTTTCCATTCTTTAAAGCAATTCCAGGACTTATTTTGTTAGGCATCAAAAAGATTATTATTTCTCACATTTTTATCATGATAGATTAAGTGCGGTTTGTTATAGGTAAATACAGTGTGTGTAAATCTATAAAAAGTATTATTTTATGTAAATCATTAAATTAATTAATATATAAAGCCGAATTTGTGAGAAAATTCTGCATAAAACGTATTGCACAGATAATAGTAAATAAGAATTCTATTAACACTTGAGCGATCGATGCGGTCAAATGCTTATATTATTTAATATCTTTAATATTTTAACACCCATGAAGAATCTTCGTGTTTATTATACTGTATGATCATTGTTATTATTATTATTTCAGTTACTTTCACGTCAAGCAGTGTCAAGCGCAACTCAATGCATTTCAGCAGCTCAGTTAAGTTATTCACACAACAGTAATCCAGTTACTCGAGAGGCTCTTTCTTCTGATACCCAAGAAGTTGCTGAAAAGATTCCGGCATTAGTTGAAGCTATAAAAGCTGTTAGTAACGAATCCAATGATACAACTCAAAGTGAGATTATGTACATTGCTGAAGTATTTTTACATGTAAGTACCTACTGTATTTTACATAAAATGTTCAAATAACACTGGTCAATAAATTACCAACTTTGCAAGCCCATGAAATGATTCGAGTTGATTTTGAAAAACAGTTACAGTGGTACTAATTTCTTCGGCTCAGGTGTCAGTTCACATGCAGTCTGAAAAACCCCTGTTTCTTCCCTCGATACATAATGTACTATTTTTAATTATTGAAAAATCTGTAATTTTCTGGTTTTAAGAGGTCTCGCAGTTTTTCATAATTCCTAATTTTCGGTTCAAAGGTTGCACAATGATATACAGTTTGCGAACATACGTGTTGTAGAAAGTTAGCGTGAGTTTTTTACGTAACGTATGAATGATTAGCGTTTTCAAGTTCACACAACCCCATACAACTTTAACGTCGTAAGTGGCCAGATTAAAACTTGAAAATAACATTCCAGTTGGCCTGCTCTTTTGTCAATGGGAACATACATCATTATAAAAAAATAGCTGAAGTAACTCCATGATACGGTCACTGGCGGCAAAGATATAATTGTAGCATCACTGCGAGCGTTAGAAGTAGTCACCGCCTAAGGCTGCTAGGTTTTAAGAGCGAATCTACTCTGTTTTCTAGTCTATTTTTAACAAAGTTTTAACTATGCTCCCAGCTGAATAGTCAGCTTGTAAAAGCTGAAGCTCGTAAGCTGGTAAATAACGCATTAATGTTTATTTTATAAAACCTAGTGGAGAAGATGCGACTTTTGGTTTTACCTTCAAATACAAAAAGCACTTGACAAGAAGCAGAACACATTTAAATGGAGGAAATATATCTGGGTACTGTAAATCACTAGTTCGAGAAGCAAGCAAACTAGATTGCCGCTTTTTGTTTAATCCGATTATTTATCTTATTATTGTATTCAATATGTTATCTGTCACATTTTTGTTTATAATAAGGGAAGGAACACTTTTTCTCAGAAAAGCTGAGCACTTTCCAGGGGAGTAGTTGACACAGGTTGCACAGATATATGCTTTTTATAGTTACTTGTAACACATTAATAAAAAATGTTAAGACTCATTAAATGACATTTGAATATTTTTGATATAAGTACTGTTTTTTCTTTTTAGCCTTCGACTCGTTTTGTTCAGACTTCTCAGTCAGTTTTATCAACTATAAGTGAAGAATTAGTTTCTCAGCAGCTGTCACAAACAACACAAAAATTCAATAGTGACTTAAATGAACTAAGAAATGCCATATATAGAGCAAAACCAGCTTGCCAAGGTCTTTCATTTGATGTTGCAACTCATCAAATTTCGTGTCTTCTTAATGATCTGGAAGAATATCGTCATGCTGTAAATACAAATAGTCTTCGCCCTCTTCCAGAAGATACATTTGAAAAATCTGTTCATCAGTTGGAATGTAGCAGTAAAGCTATTAATCAGAACGTTGCGCAGATATTAACGGCTATTTCTCAAGGAGAAGAAAATTTCGCTGCTGAAGCACTTCGTGAAACAGTACATGACCTTAAACTTTATGTGGGTAAGTTAGGTTCACAGTTTACGAGTACAAATAAAAATATACAAATTTTATACTATTATATATTCAATATAATTAAATTACTGTATTTTCAGCTTCAATTCGCGGAGTGGCAGCTACTATCGAAAATTCCGTTATTCGAAAAGAGATTATTGAGTCTGCCAAAAATGTAATTCAACATTCGTACAATCTCGTAAAAGAAGCGAAATTAAATTTACAGCCCCAAGAGATATCGCCTGAACTTGCAACATTAAGCAAAAGAGTTTCAGACGCAATAACTTCCACCATTAGTTTGTTGCCTGGTCAGAGAGATATAGACAATACAATATCTGATATTAAAAGATGGGAAGAGACTATTGGCTCCAAACATTTTCCCTTCCCAGATAAAAGTTATGGGGATCTACAAGAAGATCTTAACAAAGCAGCCGTGCTTTTAAATGAAACAAGCACTCAAATTGTTAATTCTGTTAGAAATCCAACACAATTAGCTTCATCTTCTAGACAGTTTGGCAGTGCATTTTCCGATTTGTTAGATACTGCAATGAAATTAATTGGACAAACCAAAGACGTGGATACGCAACATTTAATGATCGATTCATTCAAAAATGTATCAAATGTTTCTAATAAGCTCTTAACAGCAGCCAAGCTTGTTTCTTCAGATCCTGATTTACCTAATGGAAAAAATTTGCTCTCTGCTTCTGCGAGAGCTGTTACTAGTGCTATAAATCGTTTGATTGATAGCTGTACATCTGCTGCACCTGGTCAAACAGAATGTGACAATGCTGTAAGAAATATTGAAGCTATGAAACCTTTACTTGATAATCCAAGTGAACCCATTAATGATTACAGTTTCTATGAGTGTTTGGATGTTATTATGGAGAAAAGTAAAATGCTAGGTAGGTTGTTACGTTAAAACTACTAAAAATATTTTTCAAAGTAAATTAAAACAAATGCTGTTTCATCTAAATACATTTTTTTAATGTATTTTATAGTACGTTGGTATATAATGTATAATTTTATAGAGTAATATCAAATATTTTTACCAGTGTTCTATTGAAAACAAAATAAAAACAGAATACCAATATTATTACGCATGATAATAAAGTCAGCATTAATCTGAAGTTACTCGAGTTGTAGGTTGGTTTCAGTACTGTACAGAACATTTGAGATTGTATTATGCACCTGAGTAGACTTAAATATTACTGTTTAAAACACAAATTTTATTTCATTAATTCATAATTGTACTTGTCGATGGTGTTTAAGCAATAACTAAATAAATTTTATTTTTTAGGGGAAGGAATGACTGGAATTACAAACGGTGCCAAGCAATCTAACCAAGAAAAATTCATAGAGAACATTTGCAATGTTAGTTCAGCTGTATGTGGTGTCATCGATGCCGCAGCGCAAGCTGCTTACCTGGTAAGAGGATTCACAATTTTTATTTAATAATAAGTTTAGCGAGTTGTCTATGACCCCACGTCAATTGTTCAATTGTCCTTAGTGAAATTTTTGTAATGAATTGTTAAAAAATGCGTATACTAAAATATATAACGGTAGGTACTGGGATGTAAGTCTAAGCGTTAGATATATAAACAAAACAAACTTTGCAAGGTACTGAAAATAACCCTGAAAACAGATTAAAAATTGTGATCATTCAAATAAAGTATAATGATCATTTGGATCTGAGCTGCTTCTTTGACGTCGTATACGTATGTGTACTAAGGCACTGCGTGCTGCTTGCGATTTCTTTACCAAAAAAGGTAAAATTAAAAAGTTAAAAAACAAATACGTGTCAACGACAACACTCACTTTGTTATCTTCCTTACTGTAATCTTAGGTTTCTAAACATATCCGTCAAAAAATGGATTAGCAAAAATAAATAACCAAATCAAAAAAAACTACCGCATCGACCACAAAACGAACCGCACGCAGTGGAGTACCTGTCAAGCATAATACCGCTCCGCCAGCGTTCTTTTCTTCCGGCAGGCTGATTTCAGAGAGGTTGATAGCATTGCCATGCTTATTTTTTTAGACGCATGAAAGAGGGTGGCAGTTTGCGTAGCGAATGGCGTAGCAGCATATACGACTGGTTCTGTAACGCTTAAACCACTGAACTGTATACCGCCTAAATTGAGACGCTAACCCTCATAGAATGAAACCGAAGTGTGAGAACAGTGCCACTGCTTTGAGCGGGTATGGCATCGCACTCCCACTCACAGCGACTTATTCGTCTTTTATGCACCGCACTCTAAATCTAATCATTAAAATCATACACATCACAAAACTTGAGTTCATCTACAACCAAGGTACATTATTTTTGCATGCAAACATCATCATTATAAAATGGTCCTCGCAACAATATCTCGTATTTTTGACGGATACTAAATCATATGTCTGTTTGACATATTACGTTCCTTTAGTTATTTGAAGGACATCATTAGGTTGGAAGAATATGGTGGCATTAAACGTCCGAATTTTCTGAAAAAAGTCATTGGGTGACATTAAAAAAGGAGATTCTTGGAATATGTGGAAAAATCTTTTTAATATATTAGTAACCATTTTCCGAAAACTAATATTTGCGGAAATGATCTTTTTGATGAGGTGTCATCGGTAAAAAGATACGTTACTGATGAAAAAATTAAATGTTGGTTGTTTGCAAATGTGGAAACGGACGAAAAATGAACTGAGTTATTCTTTCATTTTAAATAGAATAATATACCTTTTCAAAATATTTTGAAAATTGTTGAATTCGCGCACTTCCTTCCAGGAACAAATGCAGCAATAGAACGTTTGTAGTACCAATAAAATACAGAAAATTGAAAAAACACAGTTGAACATTAAAACTTTAAAATCTACATTAAGCGTAAAATATAATTTGACCAATTCATGTGAGAACTTTTATGACATTTTAATAAATGATCCGAATCTATTGCAAGGTATTTACTCGAATCAAAAATATGACCATGAAGGAAAATCTTATTTTTTTTAATAAAAAATTTAATTTCATAAAAGATCATAATGTTCAAAGTATTGTTTTTACAAATATTTTTATAGTTACCAAAAATTAATAATAAATACATTTTTGTATAGTTTTAGACAAGTATATGAATGTATTAATTGAATGAATGTTCAACGCAAACATATTTTTTTTTTAAAAACGCCCATATTAATTTTAGAGTATGTGTCGTAATCCGCTACAAGATAATACAAAACAGTTAAATTATTTAAATAAACAAGTTCTTACTTCGCCAAAATACATAAACGGTAATGCGAACAACAAAATTTAAATACCTGCTCCGAACAGCGACCTCATTCCCACTCTCGGCTTCAAAATAAGTAACAGGCCCTTATGTATTGTCGGCATTCTATATATGAAGTATACGTTTCAATGGCTTGGCCAAATACAATACTCGTCCGGATTAGCTCGATTGTTGAACAGATTGTTACTTCCTTTGTTGTTGCTTTTGTTCGAACGTTAATCCTCTCCTCCACTTTTATATATAT